GCATCACACAGACATGGTCCTCTGGTGTCACCCGCCCTGAGAAACGCCAGGAGGCAGCCATCACTGGAGTGTATGGAGACAGGAAGTGGCTGCAAAGAGGCTGCAGGAGATCCGCAGAGGGGAAGCCCATATGTTATTTACCCCCTGAAGGTTCGGCCTGTTACACCCACTTCCTGTCCAGCGGCCTATTGTTCGGTATTCAGAGCTGTGATACTTTGACTGACAATTACTTGGCTGTGCAGCACGGAACCCAAATACATTTATATCATTTTTATGGAGACGGGGCTTCTTGTTGGTGTTATTTAATGACCTCTGGGGGGGGGGGGGGGGGGACGGGGGGACAGGGGGGGGGGGGGGACGGGGGGGGGGGGGGGGGGGGGGTGGGGGGGAGGGGGGGGGGGGGGGGGGGGGGGGGGAGTTCTTTTTTTATTTTTACTATAGAAAAGAAAAAAAAATCAGAAATGTTTCTAGAAGCGTAACTAGAACCTTCAGGGCCCCAGTGCAAGAAAGCATGAAGGGCCCCCCTGACCCCATCCCACCTTTCCATTGGTCCTAGGGCCCTTGCCACTGATTCCAGGGCCCTTTCTGCTGGTCTTGGGCCCTTTACATTGGTCCTGGGGCCCTTTACATTGGTCCTGGGGCCCTTTCCACTGGTCCTGGGCTCCTTTACATTGGTCCTGGGGCCCTTTCCACTGGTCCTGGGTCCTGGGCCCCTTTACATTGGTCCTGGGGCCCTTTCCACTGGTCCTGGGCTCCTTTACATTGGTCCTGGGGCCCTTTCCACTGGTCCTGGCCCCTTTACATTGGTCCTGGGCCCCTTTACATTGGTCCTGGGCTCCACTGGTCCTGGGCCCCTTTACATTGGTCCTGGGGCCCTTTCCACTGGTTTCCCTGCACACCAGCTGAAATCAGGCTGTCATTGAATTTTAGGGCACCATTTGGGGTGTGACACAAAGGAAAGGTGGAATGAGCGACTCCTGGTGATGGTGGATCCCATTGGTTGTCGGACATACAGGAAGGATCCAACCACAATTCAACCTTCACCCAATCACAGGAACCGATCTCCTGTGGGTCTCTTCCTGCAGCAGCTGAAAGTCAGTGAGGGGGAAAGGAGGAGAATCTGCAGGAAGAGACCCACAGGAGATTGGTTCCTGTAATTTCCCCACCCCCGCCTCAACCAATCACCCCCTCCCCTTCCCACATCCAATTCCCCTGCTGCCCAGCCCCAGTACAGGAGGACCTGAGCTACCCCTTATCAGTAGCCTTGTCCTCGGGTGATCCTCCTACATAAGTTGTACCCGTTTATCTGCAGATGAAGGGCTATTTCTCAGCTGTAGAAAGCAGGGATCAGAAATCTGATCTCACATGGAGCTGCATAGAGTAGGGAGCTAAGTGTAATATGAGACCTGAGTGGAGGGAAAGGGCACAGACCCAACCAGGACAGGGGCTTTTGGAGGGGACTGCAGGCTAGCCTCTTTCCTACTGACCATGGGCCCTGGCATCTGAGGGGGCTCTATTCTTTGGAAGGTTTGTACCTGGGGGGGGACCTGGGGGGAGTAGTTTTACTTTGGATTCAAGTCCATGTCTCCCCGAAACACACAGAGAACTGGAGGACCAGGATACAGATTTGGGGTCTCTGTGCCGAAACCAGCATTGACTGCTTCACCCCCCCCCCTTCCCCAGACTCAGAGTAGATGTTAGTATAATCAGCTCAAAGCACCCGATGGGATCTGTTCATCAAGGTGCGATGTGGTTACCGTTCTGTATTTGTCCCATTGGTGATTAGTCCTGTTGTCTCTGTCTGTTGGCTGGTCCTCCTGGAGGTTCCTACATGATGGGATTATTACCTGTTGTCTCTGTCTGTTCTGGAGGTTCACATGATGGGATTAGTCTGGAGTCACCTGTTGTCTCTGTCTGTTGGCTGGTCCTCCTGGAGGTTCCTACATGATGGGATTAGTCTGGAGTCACCTGTTGTCTCTGTCTGTTGGCTGGTTTTCCTGGAGGTTCCTACATGATGGGATTAGTCTGGAGTCACCTGTTGTCTCTGTCTGTTGGCTGGTCCTCCTAGAGGTTCCTACATGATGGGATTAGTCTGGAGTCACCTGTTGTCTCTGTCTGTTGGCTGGTCCTCCTAGAGGTTCCTACATGATGGGATTAGTCTGGAGTCACCTGTTGTCTCTGTCTGTTGGCTGGTCCTCCTGGAGGTTCCTACATGGGATTATGGGATTAGTCTGTGGTTGGCTGCTCCTCCTGGAGGTTCTACATAAGCTCTGGAGTCAGCTTTACCTCCTTATCTGACCAGTGTGTGATTGTCAGGAATGGACTCGCCAATAGTGGTGGGATTCACCTGCCTTGTGGGTTGCAGTACCAGGGCTGGCCAGCGGGTGCTCTCAGCAACCAGAGGCTCATTCCTGCAATCAGCCAAAACACCTGAGGCTGATTGCAGGAGGTGCATATAAGGAATGACCAGGCCTGTGATCTGGGCCTTGGTGTATGTTGCCCATGAGCCCCTGTATCTTGTTCCTGATTCCTGTTACCTGTGTTCCTGTAGTGCGTTCCTTGTTGCTGACCCTGCCTGTTCTGATCCATGCTGACATTCTCCTGCTCTGACCCCTGGCTCGTCCCTGACCATCCTTCTGCCTGATCCTCTGTACCGTGCTGCCCGTGAGTTACTGAACCCGGCGTGTGACCTGACTACCCTTGTCTGCTGCTTGTACCGTGCCTGTCCCCACCGTTACTGACCCGGCTAGTCTGACCACGCTCGCTCCTGACTGTTATCCATCCATCCGCTCGGACCTGGACCTGCCAGCACTCTCTACCACAGCCAGACGCACTCAGGGGGTCGCGACCTGGTTCCAGTCTGCACCAAGTCCATCCCCACCATCAGGGGCCCTGGTGAATAGCAGGCTGGGACTTAGACCCTGCGCCCTGAGGAGATCCATGCTGTGGGCTTGGCCTGCCTGACCACTCCACCTCTCCAGCCCTGACTGCACTGTGTACCTATTGCTTTGTTTGTTTGCACTGTGTTTATTGGTGCAGCTAATAATAAATATTATTATTATTATACCATATCTGAAGCCTGCGTTTCCCTGTGTCAGTCCACCACACACCCCGCTGGTCATACCCGGATCCCTAACAGTGGTGTTTATCCCAATATGTAATATTTGTTTTTATTGCTCATGTGGGGACTGCCCCTATTTCTAAGTGTATAAGAACTGTATTTCTGTCCAATAAACAGTTTGTGTCACCTAGTCTTGGGTGCAATTCCCAGCTATAATACCTTGGTCCTGTGTCCCAACGATGAGGAATCCGTTCTCTGAGGGAAGCACCCAGGTGGGGTCCATCACAGGCACACCCTCTTCAACACCATCTTATAGGGAAACATATACAGCTGAGGCTGTCAGTCACCTGCTGTGTGCTGAAGTGGAGGGGGGAGGGGCTATCACTCGGAATTCTGCTGTATCGGCATAAACTGTCACAAGTGACTCTTACAAAGGGGAGAGCAGACAGAAATGACACTCGGTGCTTTGGAGTGAGGCAAGTACACACCATAGAAGGATATGCTCTGTTCATTATTCATGTTAGAGATTTACACCCAGATCCTGACCCTGCTGGGGGGGAGGGTAACTTTATTGTTGGCTCAGAAATCATGGTCTCAATTAGAGATGAGCGAATTATTCAAAAATTCGATTCGGCTGATTCGCCGAATTTGCGGAATAAATTTTGATTCGAGTCGAATAAATTCGCTGTGAATTTAACGTGTAAAAAGGGTGTTTCTAGGCTTCAGAGAGCCTTAATATTAGTGCAGAACACTGTACCTTTAATTTAAATGCCCTTGGAGTCTGCTGGGGAAGAGAAATAATACTGTCAGTCAGTATGTATGACATGCAGATGAGTGCCGTCCATCTTAGAATCACCGCACACTTCACTCATTTGGGCAGTCACGGGGCCAAAACCAGAGTGTGGAGCCACAGTGTGGCGGTGGAGGCAGCAGCAATGGGAGGCCATACAGCACCCTATGACAAAATGGAAACCAGCAGGAGTGTGAGGAGACCTGAAAGTGGCACATGGCAGAGTGTGGCGATAGAGACAGCAGCAATGGGAGGCCGTACAGGGACCCATGACACACTCTGGACCTGGCAGCAGCATGAGGAGGCGGTACGGGGGCCCATGGCAGATTACGGGCCTGGCAGCAGCATGAGGAGGCGGTACGGGGGCCCATGGCAGATTACGGGCCTGGCAGCAGCATGAGGAGGCGGTACAGGGGCCCATGGCAGAGTGGCAAAGCGGAAGCAGCTTCAATTGAAGGCCAATAGTGGTTGTGAAGCAGAAAGTCAGTTTATTTTGCACAATCGGCAAACTGCAGCACCAACTGTGCACGACAGCCACCAAAAAAAAAAAAAAAGGGTGTATGTCACTTTAAATTTTTGATTCTTTGATAGCTGTGGCCCTAAGTAACGATTTGTGTGGCCCTGAGTAACGATTGTGTGGCCCTGAGTAACGATTGTGTGGCCCTGAGTAACGATTGTGTGGCCCTGAGTAACGATTGTGTGGCCCTGAGTAACGATTCTGTGGCCCTAAAGTCTCTGTGGCCCTAATGCAGGCCATAGATGGGTCGAAAATCGGCCGATTTTTCGGCCGAAAATAAAATCGGCCGATTTTCGGATCGTTAGTGGGCTATTTGGTCGGCCGTTTTTTCGGTATTTTGGCCGATTTTTTTTTCTGTAAAGTTTGAAAAAAAAAAAAAAAATCGGCCGATTTTGCCGATCGGCCGATTTTTCGCGGCAATAGTGGGCAAATCGGACGATTTTTTTTGCCGATAAAAAAAATGCGCATGAGCAGTGACCTGCAAGAGGAAGACAAAAAGAAGAGGAGGAAGAGGAAGAGGAAGAGGAAGACGAAAAGAAGAGGAAGAAGAAGAAGAAGGTGAGGATGAGGAAGAAGAAGAAGAAGAAGAAGAAGAAGAAGAAGAAGAAGAAGAAGAAGAAGAAGAAGATGAGGATGAAGAAGAAGAAGATGAGGATGAAGAAGAAGAAGATGAGGATGAAGAAGAGGATGAAGAAGAGGATGAGGATGAAGAAGAAGAAGAGGATGAAGAAGAGGATGAGGATGATGAAGAAGAAGAAGAGGAGAGGATGAAGAAGAAGAGGATGAGGATGAGGATGAAGAAGAAGAAGAAGAAGAAGAAGAAGAAGAAGAGGATGAGGATGAAGAAGAAGAACAAGAAGAAGTAGGATGAAAATAAGAAGAATTCCAGTACAGCAAAAAGTGTCCCTGCAGAGAGCTCCGCTATTTCTGACAGTTCTCTGACAGTTCCTTCACATTTACAGCAGTTGAAACATTGTATCTATTTGTTTCCGAATAAAAACATCTGTATCCTAAATGGAAACAAATAGATACAATGTTTCAAACTGCTGTAAATGTGAAGGAACTGTCAGAGAACTGTCAGAAATAGCGGAGCTCTCTGCAGGGACACTTTTTGCCGGCTGTAGAAGGGATGAAAATCGGCCGATCGGGGAAAATTCGATTCGTGCATCCGAAGTTTGCTAATTTTCGGATTCGGCGCGAATCGAATTTTTCCTAATATTCGAAACGAATTCCACTTCGCCAAGTTCGATTCGCTCATCTCTAGTCTCAATAAAAGTCATAGAGCCAAGGACGACTCGCATCTGTCAGTGAAACGCGGTAATTATTACAAAATATGTTTTCTGTTATATATTCAGACAAAGTTTTGATGAGAAGTGACAGGCGATCGATGAATAATCGAGGACAATCCGCTCTATTCCCGCCTCTCTGGAAGCTTCTATTTCTGACAAAGCGTTGTCACCCACGCTGCGTCTCCTTTGTCTTCAAGTCTCACAGTTGATGTAAAGCTGACAGTTCTCTCCTCATCCGAAGGTTTGGAAAGTTTGGCGTTCCCATATCCACATGTTTACAGAACTTAATAGATGTCGACACAAAACATGACAGAGATTCGCTTTTCCCCGCAAAGTTGTCGCAGACTTTGCCTCGTCTCCAAAACTGAAGTTCAGTGAATCCAAATCTGATGGACAAGGTTGGGTCAGATTCTGGCTTTGGGGACTCTTGAGCTCCCAGGTGTTCCCAGCTCCGCCCACCTGCTTCAGCCATGAAAAGAAGATCACAAGAACAGAGCAAGACTGTGCAGAGGGAAGAGGAAGAGGAGGGATCTCTGCGGAGGAAGAGGAGGGATCTCTGCGGAGGAAAAAGAAAGAGGGGAGATCTCTGCGGAGGAAGAGGAGAGATCTCTGCGGAGGAAAGAGGAAGAAAGGAGGGATCTCTGCGGAGGAAAGAGGAAGAGGAGAGATCTCTGCGAAGGAAAGAGGAAGAGGAGAGATCTCTGCGAAGGAAAGAGGAAGAGGAGGGATCTCTGCGAAGGAAAGAGGAAGAGGAGGGATCTCTGCGGAGGAAAAAGGAAGATGAGAGATCTCTGCGGAGGAAAAAGGAAGATGAGAGATCTCTGCGGAGGAAAGAGGAAGAGGAGGGATCTCTGCGGAGGAAAGAGGAAGAGAAGGGATCTCTGCGGAGGAAAGAGGAAAAGGAGAGATCTCTGCAGAGGAAAGAGGAAGAGGAGGGATCTCTGCAGAGGAAGAGGAGGGATCTCTGCAGAGGAAGAGGAGGGATCTCTGCAGAGGAAAGAGGAAGAGGAGGGATCTCTGCGGAGGAAAGAGGAAGAGGAGGGATCTCTGCGGAGGAAAGAGGAAGAGGAGGGATCTCTGCGGAAGAAAGAGGAAGAGGAGGGATCTCTGCAGAGGAAGAGGAGGGATCTCTGCAGAGGAAGAGGAGGGATCTCTGCAGAGGAAGAGGAGGGATCTCTGCAGAGGAAGAGGAGGGATCTCTGCAGAGGAAAGAGGAAGAGGAGGGATCTCTGCAGAGGAAAGAGGAGGGATCTCTGCAGAGGAAGAGGAGGGATCTCTGCAGAGGAAGAGGAGGGATCTCTGCAGAGGAAGAGGAGGGATCTCTGCAGAGGAAGAGGAGGGATCTCTGCAGAGGAAAGAGGAAGAGGAGGGATCTCTGCAGAGGAAAGAGGAAGAGGAGGGATCTCTGCAGAGGAAAGAGGAAGAGGAGGGATCTCTGCAGAGGAAAGAGGAAGAGGAGGGATCTCTGCGGAGGAAAGAGGAAGAGGAGAGATCTCTGCGGAGGACAGAGGAAGAGGAGAGATCTCTGTGGAGGAAAGAGGAAGAGGAGAGATCTCTGCAGAGGAAAGAGGAAGAGGAGAGATCTCTGCAGAGGAAAGAGGAGAGATCTCTGCAGAGGAAAGAGGTAGAGAAAGGATCTCTGCGGAGGAAAGAGGAAGAGGAGGGATCTCTGCAGAGGAAGAGGGAGGGATCTCTGCGGAGGAAAGAGGAAGAGGAGAGATCTCTGCAAAGGAAAGAGGAAGAGGAGGGATCTCTGCAGAGGAAGAGGAGGGATATCTGCGGAGGAAAGAGGAGAGATCTCTGCGGAGGAAAGAGGAAGAGGAGAGATCTCTGCAAAGGAAAGAGGAAGAGGAGGGATATCTGTGGAGGAAAGAGGAAGAGGAGAGATCTCTGCGGAGGAAAGAGGAAGAGGAGGGATCTCTGCAGAGGAAGAGGAGGGATCTCTGTGGAGGAAAGAGGAAGAGGAGGGATCTCTGCAGAGGAAGAGGAGGGATCTCTGCAGAGGAAAGAGGAAGAGGAGAGATCTCTGCGGAGGAAAGAGGAAGAGGAGAGATCTCTGCATAGGAAAGAGGAAGAGAAGGGATCTCTGCATAGGAAAGAGGAGGGATCTCTGCGGAGGAAAGAGGAAGAAGAGAGATCTCTGCGGAGGAAAGAGGAAGAGGAGGGATCTCTGTGGAAGAAAGAGGAGGGATCTCTGTGGCGGGAAAGAGGAAGAGGAGGGATCTCTGTGGCGGGAAAGAGGAAGAGGAGGGATCTCTGTGGCGGGAAAGAGGAAGAGGAGGGATCTCTGTGGCGGGAAAGAGGAAGAGGAGGGATCTCTGTGGCGGGAAAGAGGAAGAGGTGGGATCTCTGTGGCGGGAAAGAGGAAGAGGTGGGATCTCTGCGGAGGAAAGAGGAAGAGGTGGGATCTCTGCGGAGGAAAGAGGAAGAAGAGAGATCTCTGCGGAGGAAAGAGGAAGAAGAGAGATCTCTGCGGAGGAAAGAGGAAGAAGAGAGATCTCTGTGGAGGAAAGAGGAAGAGGTGGGATCTCTGCGGAGGAAAGAGGAAGAGGTGGGATCTCTGCGGAGGAAAGAGGAAGAGGTGGGATCTCTGCGGAGGAAAGAGGAAGAGGAGGGATCTCTGCGGAGGAAAGAGGAAGAGGAGGGATCTCTGCGGAGGAAAGAGGAGAGACCTCTGCGGAGGAAAGAAGAAGAGGAGGGATCTCTGCGGAGGAAAGAGGAAGAGGTGGGATCTCTGCGGAGGAAAGAGGAAGAGGTGGGATCTCTGCGGAGGAAAGAGGAAGAGGTGGGATCTCTGCGGAGGAAAGAGGAAGAGGTGGGATCTCTGCGGAGGAAAGAGGAAGAGGTGGGATCTCTGCGGAGGAAAGAGGAAGAGGTGGGATCTCTGCGGAGGAAAGAGGAAGAGGAGAGACCTCTGCGGAGGAAAGAAGAAGAGGAGGGATCTCTGCGGAGGAAAGAGGAAGAGGTGGGATCTCTGCGGAGGAAAGAGGAAGAGGTGGGATCTCTGCAGAGGAAGAGGAGGGATCTCTGTGGAGGAAAGAGGAAGAGGAGGGATCTCTGCAGAGGAAGAGGAGGGATCTCTGCAGAGGAAAGAGGAAGAGGAGAGATCTCTGCGGAGGAGGAAAGAGGAAGAGGTGGGATCTCTGCGGAGGAAAGAGGAAGAGGTGGGATCTCTGCGGAGGAAAGAGGAAGAGGTGGGATCTCTGCGGAGGAAAGAGGAAGAGGTGGGATCTCTGCGGAGGAAAGAGGAGGAAGAGGTGGGATCTCTGCGGAGGAAAGAGGAAGAGGAGGGATCTCTGCGGAGGAAGAGGAGAGACCTCTGCGGAGGAAAGAAGAAGAGGAGGGATCTCTGCGGAGAAAAGAGGAAGAGGTGGGATCTCTGCGGAGGAAAGAGGAAGAGGTGGGATCTCTGCGGAGGAAAGAGGAAGAGGAGGGATCTCTGCGGAGGAAAGAGGAAGAGGAGGGATCTCTGCGGAGGAAAGAGGAAGAGGAGGGATCTCTGCGGAGGAAGAGGGAGATCTCTGCGGAGGAAAGAGGAAGAGGGATCTCTGCGGAGGGAAGAGAAGGGATCTCTGTGGAGTAAAGAAGAAGAGGGATCTCTGCGGAGGGAAGAAGAGGAGGGATCTCTGCGGAGGAAGAGGAGGGATCTCTGCGGAGGAAAGAGGAAGAGGAGGGATCTCTGCGGAGGAGGAGAGGAGAGATCTCTGCGGGAGGAAAGAGGAAGAGGAGGGATCTCTGCGGAGGAAAGAGGAAGAGGAGGGATCTCTGCGGAGGAAAGAGGAAGAGGAGGGATCTCTGCGGAGGAAAGAGGAGAGACCTCTGCGGAGGAAAGAAGAAGAGGAGGGATCTCTGGAGGAGGAAGAGGTGGGATCTCTGCGGAGGAAAGAGGAAGAGGTGGGATCTCTGCGGAGGAAAGAGGAAGAGGTGGGATCTCTGCGGAGGAAAGAGGAAGAGGTGGGATCTCTGCGGAGGAAAGAGGAAGAGGTGGGATCTCTGCGGAGGAAAGAGGAAGAGGTGGGATCTCTGCGGAGGAAAGAGGAAGAGGTGGGATCTCTGCGGAGGAAAGAGGAAGAGGAGAGACCTCTGCGGAGGAAAGAAGAAGAGGAGGGATCTCTGCGGAGGAAAGAGGAAGAGGTGGGATCTCTGCGGAGGAAAGAGGAAGAGGTGGGATCTCTGCGGAGGAAAGAGGAAGAGGTGGGATCTCTGCGGAGGAAAGAGGAAGAGGTGGGATCTCTGCGGAGGAAAGAGGAAGAGGAGGGATCTCTGCGGAGGAAAGAGGAAGAGGAGGGATCTCTGCGGAGGAAGAGAAGAGAGACCTCTGCGGAGGAAAGAAGAAGAGGAGGGATCTCTGCGGAGAAAAGAGGAAGAGGTGGGATCTCTGCGGAGGAAAGAGGAAGAGGTGGGATCTCTGCGGAGGAAAGAGGAAGAGGAGGGATCTCTGCGGAGGAAAGAGGAAGAGGAGGGATCTCTGCGGAGGAAAGAGGAAGAGGAGGGATCTCTGCGGAGGAAAGAGGAAGAGGAGGGATCTCTGCGGAGGAAGAGGAGAGATCTCTGCAGAGGAAAGAGGAAGAGGAGGGATCTCTGCGGAGGGAAGAGAAGGGATCTCTGTGGAGTAAAGAAGAAGAGGGATCTCTGCGGAGGGAAGAGGAGGGATCTCTGCGGAGGAAGAGGAGGGATCTCTGCGGAGGAAAGAGGAAGAGGAGGGATCTCTGCGGAGGAAAGAGGAAGAGGAGAGATCTCTGCGGAGGAAAGAGGAGGAGGAGGGATCTCTGTGTCACGGTCTGGCTCAGGTTCAGAGACCAGTTGCTACAGCAGTTGTAAGGCTTTCCTGAAACCAGCAGGATTGGTCCACCAGCGGGTCCCCCTGGGAATGACGCGGGCTCACCTGAGGTGCGGGGTCTAAGCATCCACCGGTCTTCCCCAGAGCTCCTAATGGTGGAGATGGATTTGGCTGCGTGCTAATACCAGGTCGCAGATCTCAGGATCACCCACCAGGGAATGAGTGCGCTGGAAACCAAAAGCGGATCAAACAGTTCAGGGATCAAACAGAAGTGGAGTCAGTCACAAGCCAAGGATCGGTCACCAATTGTAGTAGATAGGATGAGGCAGAATCGTAGTCCAGGAACAAGCCAAAGGTCGGTAACGTAGATGAAGACGGCAGCAGGAACAGTAAGCGGGATATTGGCTGGAAGGCACAATAATCTGGCAACCAGGAAGTGCAGAGACATGGCTTTTATAGAAAGTTCATGGGAGGAGCAAGGGGTTCAAGGTTCAAGACAAAACAGGGCAAAGGCAGGATCATCCAAAGAATTGTCAAGGGAGCTGTCCAACATTCCAGGTGGCTCAGCAAGAAGAAACATTGCCTCTCACTGCAGAAGGCCCAGGTTCGATTCCAGGCTCTGACACTCTGCAGAGGAAGGGGAGGGATCTCTGCAGAGGAAAGAGGAAGAGGAGGGATTTCTGCGGAGGGAAGAGGAGGGATTTCTGCAGAGGAAAGAGGAAGAGGAGGGATTTCTGCGGAGGGAAGAGGAGGGATTTCTGCAGAGGAAAGAGGAAGAGGAGGGATCTCTGCAGAGGAGAGGAGGGATCTCTGCGGAGGGAAGAGAAGAGATCTCTGTGGAGGAAAGAGGAAGAGGAGGGATCTCTGTGGAGGAAGAGGAGGGATCGGGGACTGTATGGTTACGCCGATATTTCAATGTCAATTGGAAGCTGCTGAGCGAAGTTTTCCATCTACAGAACGAGGAGAACGGTGAATAGAAGGATCATTCCGGAATGTAGGGACTGCATGGGCGGGTCATCGGGAGGATAGGAGGGGTCTGTGGTCACAAGTTTTGGTTGTCGGTTCTCTGATCTGATTGGTCACTTTGTCGTCTCCGGCTGGGAAATATGTGTTCGGACAGAATTGGTGACGACTTATCGGACCGCCAAATATTGACTGATGGAGCTTAATGCGTCTGAATCCACAGATAGGACCCCTGACAGGTCATTAATGCCATAAATACCCGAGATCACACCCCCCAAACAGTCCATATACCAAGATATTCCACCGAGAAATCGGGGGGGGGGGGGGAATGTGGGAGGAGCAACGCACTTCGAGGGCCAAACTAGCTGATGGCGGCTGCTGGTGAGTTCTGTTCCTCGGCATTCTATTGGTCAACATTCTGAAAACTTTTCACCTCCAATCCTTCCAATCTGTATACAATGTTTCTCTGACCCCTCCAGTCCGTATACATTGTATCTGTATATCTCTGACCCCTCCAGTCCGTATACATTGTGTCTCTGACCCCTCCGGTCCGTATACATTGTATCTGTATATCTCTGATCCCTCCAGTCCGTATACATTGTGTCTCTGACCCCTCCAGTCCGTATACATTGTATCTGTATATCTCTGATCCCTCCGGTCCGTATACATTGTATCTGTATATCTCTGATCCCTCCAGTCCGTATACATTGTGTCTCTGACCCCTCCAGTCCGTATACATTGTATCTGTATATCTCTGACCCCTCCGGTCCGTATACATTGTATCTGTATATCTCTGACCCCTCCAGTCCGTATACATTGTGTCTCTGACCCCTCCGGTCCGTATACATTGTATCTGTATATCTCTGATCCCTCCAGTCCATATACATTGTATCTGTATATCTCTGACCCCTCCGGTCCGTATACATTGTATCTGTATATCTCTGACCCCTCCAGTCCGTATACATTGTATCTGTATATCTCTGACCCCTCTGGTCCGTATTCATTGTATCTGTATATCTCTGACCCCTCTGGTCCGTATTCATTGTATCTGTATATCTCTGACCCCTCCAGTCCGTATACATTGTATCTGTATATCTCTGACCCCTCCGGTCCGTATACATTGTATCTGTATATCTCTGATCCCTCCAGTCCGTATACATTGTATCTGTATATCTCTGATCCCTCCGGTCCGTATACAATGTTTCTCTGACCCTTCCAGTCCGTATACATTGTATCTGTATATCTCTGACCCTTCCGGTCCGTATACATTGTATCTGTATATCTCTGATCCCTCCGGTCCGTATACATTGTGTCTCTGACCCCTCCGGTCCGTATACATTGTATCTGTATATCTCTGATCCCTCCGGTCTGTATACATTGTATCTGTATATCTCTGACCCCTCCGGTCCGTATACATTGTATCTGTATATCTCTGACCCCTCCTGTCCGTATTCATTGTATCTGTATATCTCTGATCCCCCCTCTGGTCCGTATTCATTGTATCTGTATATCTCTGACCCCTCCGAACTGTATACATTGTATCTGTATATCTCTGATCCCTCCAGTCCATATACATTGTATCTGTATATCTCTGATCCCCTCCGGTCCATATACAATGTTTCTCTGACCCTTCCAGTCCGTATACATTGTATCTGTATATCTCTGACCCTTCCGGTCCGTATACATTGTATCTGTATATCTCTGACCCCTCCGGTCCGTATACATTGTATCTGTATATCTCTGACCCCTCCGGTCCGTATACATTGTATCTGTATATCTCTGACCCCTCCTGTCCGTATTCATTGTATCTGTATATCTCTGACCCCTCCGGACTGTATACATTGTATCTGTATATCTCTGACCCCTCTGGTCCGTATTCATTGTATCTGTATATCTCTGACCCCTCCGGACTGTATACATTGTATCTGTATATCTCTGACCCCTCCGGTCCGTATTCATTGTATCTGTATATCTCTGACCCCTCCGGACTGTATACATTGTATCTCTGATCCCTCTGGTCCGTATACATTGTATCTCTGATCCCTCTGGTCCGTATACATTGTATCTCTGATCCCTCTGGTCCATATACATTGTATCTGTATATCTCTGATTTATTTATTTCCGGTCCTTCTATATCGCGGTCAGTGTACACAGCGCTTTGCATATATATTGTACATTCACATCAGGCCCCGCCCCCGAGGAACGTACAATCTAAGGTCCCTAACTCACATTCATACATACACAGACTAGGGACAATTTAGACAGGAGCCAATGAACCTACCAGCATGTCTCTGTGGGAGGAAACCGGAGTATCTGGAGGAAACCCATGCAGGCACAGGGAGAACATGCAAACTCCAGGCAGGTGATGCCTTGGTTGGGATTCGAACCAACAACCCGAGTACTGCCAAGAGGAAGTGCTGACCACTCAGCCACTGTACTGCCCGCCGGGGAGTCAGCGGGAAGTTGTCATGTATGAAGCCGCGGGGGAGTCAGCGGAGAGCTCTCATGTATGAAGCTGCGGGGGAGTCAGCGGGAAGCTCTCATGTATGAAGCCGCAGGGGGAGTCAGCGGGAAGCTCTCATGTATGAAGCTGCGGGGGAGTCAGCGGGAAGCTCTCATGTATGAAGCCGCAGGGGGAGTCAGCGGGAAGCTCTCATGTATGAAGCCGTCAGGGGAGTCAGCGGGAAGCTCTCATGTATGAAGCCGCGGGGGAGTCAGCGGGAAGCCCTCATGTATGAAGCCGTCGGGGGAGTTGGCGGGAAGCTCTCATGTATGAAGCCGCGGGGGAGTCAGCGGGAAGTTGTCATGTATGAAGCCGCGGGGGAGTCAG